CACAGGACAGAGCGGAGTTTAGGGCTGTTGTACATAGGGTCGCTATGAGTCGCAGGCGACTCGACGGCACATAACAACAACAACAACAACAACAACATATTGTGTATGATCGTATAAAACTCAGTGTGCATGAATGAAGTACAATGCATATGGATGACTGTATAAAACACAAAATACATGTATGGAACATGATATATATGGATATGTATGTATGCAAATGAGTAAAATAAAAAGAAAATGGCAAGAAAGCCTCTACAGAGCACAGTTCTACTCTGATACACATGAATTAGAATCAATTCAATGAATGCGGGTTGGGTTATAACAAAACGGTACTTAAAAATTCCAACTCTCCTCTGTTACATTAGTTCCTTGCTCTGATATGGTGAACGAAGGCTTTTCTGAATAGAAAAGAATGATATTGTTAACCATACACATAATCACAAGTATTCTACTATCTTTATCTTTTTAAGCAAACTCTGCTGTCATGAAGTTAATTCTTATTCATAAATAGCCCTCTATTAGACTTTCCAGGTTTTAAATCTTTATGAGAAGAAACTACATATCTTTCTCCTGTGGTGCAGCTGGCTGATTCAAATTGCCAACCTTTCAGTTAGTAATCTGACAGGTTACACACTATGCCAACAGAACTCTACTACTAGAATATGCAGTCCAAATTTCCACTTTAATTAAAGATTATGTAAAAGTCACTTACCTTGCCCCACCAAAATAGCCATCTTGCATTTTCTGGAGTGCTGCCAAGATAGCAGAATTCAAACTGGTTCCATCTTCATCTTTAAAAAAAGAGAGACTTTTAGAACTAACTTTCTGGTTTTAAATTTTGAATAAAGTCTTGCACTAATAATTGAAACCAATATAACAGTGGTGGTAGTACCAATGAGTCACAACTAATATTGAGTGCCTTGCATTTTAACAATTCATCTGAGAGCCAATGAAGAATGGGGAAACAATAAAAAAATACTAACAGATGTGATCTTATTTCTAATAGTATTTTCAACACTTGGCAGAGTGCGTGATGAACATTTAATGACTATTAAATGCTGATAACAGTAACAATTGTTTTGTCAATATTAATATGCATTTCACATTTAAACACATTTTATAATATAATGAGTCTTGGTGTATTGAGGAAGCATAAAATCCATGAAAGGCTAGCAATTAACCTGTTTTACATAAAGGTTATCTTACTACATATATTCTCTTTTTATTTTCTGTCAATGAACTACTTTCTCCCCCTATACTCATACAAGGAAGTCCAGTGAATACCACTATCATTCAAATATATGCACCAACAAGCAGAGCCAAAGAGGAGGAAATAAAATGTTTCTACCAACATGTTGTGAGAAGAAACCGGTCCTTGGAGAAGGATATCATGCTTGAGAGGGTGGAGGGACAGCGCAGGAGGGGAAGGCCCTCTATGAGGTGGATTGATTCAGTGACTGGGATAATCGGGATGGGAGTGTCGGAGACAGTGCGATTGGCAAAGGATAGAGCAGGGTTTAGGGCTGTTGTACATAGGGTCGCAATGAGTCGCAAGCGACTTGACGGCACACAACAACAACCAACTTTTGCAGTCAGAGATCAATCAAACATGTAATCAAGATGCATTAATAATAATGGTAACAGGAATGCAAAAGTTGGGAACAAAGAAGAAGGATCAGTTGAAAAACATGGTCTTAAGTGACAGAAATGAAGCTGGAGATAGAATGATAGAATTTTGCACAATCAACGTTGTTGTTGTTATGTGCCATCAAGTCACTTGCGACTCATAGCGACCCTATGTCTGATCAATGCCTTATTGTATGTATACTGCCTTTCCATTACCCGACTACTGTATTTATTATTATGTACTTTCTTTTCTCTGTATTGTCATCCTTGTTTATACTGTTGTATGTGTTTTGTGCTGTAGAGTCAGAACTGACCTGCAGTTGACCCTCTGGTGGGTTTTCAGAGGCAGTTAATCTCATGGGAGGAGACTCCTCTCACGGAGCAGCTGCAATAAGGCATGAAGTCTCTCCAACAGACCTAATACCATTTCTCCAGTTACTGAACCAATCTATCTCATCCTGGGTCTTCCTGTCCTGATCTGTCCCTCCACCGTTCCAAGTGTAATGTCCTTCTTCAAGGACTGGGCCCTCCTGGCCATGCACCAAAGAATGTGAAATAGACCCTCAAAATCCTAGACTTAAGGACCAACCTGTTTGTTCTCCTGGCAGTCCACAGTATGTCCAACACTGTTATCTAACACTACAATTAAAAAGCATTGATCCTTCTTCTAAGATCCTTAGTTATTGTCCAGCTTTCAGATACATAGCAAGTAATTGTGAATGATGGCAGAAGTATGAAGGAATTGCAATTCTCATATACTGCTGGTGGAAATATAAAATGGTGCAACCACTACAGAAAGCAGTGAGAGCTCTTTAGAAAGGTGAGAATAGAAATATCATTAAATCCAGCAATCCCATTATTTACAAACATTTCTTTAAAATATAAGAGCTATGATACAAACTGACATATGAAAACACAAGGTTTTATTGCTGTTGTTAGGTGCCATCAAGTTGAGTATGACCCATAGTGACCCTATGTACAACAGATTTGAACCCTGTCCTATCCTGAGCCATCCACACACTTTCTAACAGATTAGAGACATTGCTGTAGTCACTGTGTCAATCCACCTGGTTGAGGGTCTTCCTCTCCTTCACTGACCCTCTGCCTTTTCAAGTACCATAAACCTCTCCAAGGAAAAGCTTCTTGCTGAGTCTTTAGGGTTTTCTAAGTATACTATCATTTCATCTCCATAGAGAGATAATTTTACCGCCTCTTTGCCAATTTAGACCTCTTAGGTCTTTTTCTTGTCTTATTGCTATCTGTAAGACTTCCAATACAATATTGAATAAGAGAGGTGATAATGGGCATCCTTGCCTAGTTCCTGTTCTTAAAGGGAATGGCTTTAACCTCTCTCCATTGAGAACAATGTTGGCTCTCGGATTTTCATAAATACTTTTTACTATATTGAAGAAATTCCCCTCTAGTCCTATTTTATTGAATGTTTTAATCAGGAAAGTGTGTTGGATTTTGTTAGTCCTTTACTGTATCAATTGATAGGATCATGTGTTTCTTGTTCTTTGCTTTGTCAATGTGATGAATTACATTGATTGTTTTTCTTATATTGAACCATCCTTGCTTACCTGTTTTGAACCCCACTTGGTCATGATAGATTATTTCTTTGAGGTATTGTTGAATTCTATTGGCCAGGATTCTATTCAGGATTTTTACATCTATGTTTATAAGAGATATTGGCCTGTAGTTTTCTATTTTGGTGGTGTCCTTCCCTGACTTTGGTATCAAGGATATGTTTGCTTCAAAGAATGAGTCTAGGAGAATTCCATCTTTTTCTATTATCTGAAATCGTTTATGCAGAATTGGTGAAAGTTCTTGTCTGAATGTTTGATAAAATTCACTTAGAAAACCATCTGTCCAAGCCTTTTTTTGGTTGGAAGTTGTTGTATTACCTTTTCAATTTCTTCTTTGTAATGGGTCTGTTCAGATGTTCAATTTTGGTTTGTGTCAGTTTAGGTTGGTTGTGCATTTCTAAGTATTTGTCCATTTCCTCTAGGTTTTCGTATTTGTTTGAGTATAGTTTTTCATAATATTTTAATGTTAGCTTTTTTATTTTAGTTGGTTCTGTTGTGATGTTGCCTGATTCATCTCTTTTTCGGATTATTTGTGTCTTCTCCTTATTTTCTTTTGTGAGTTTTGCTAATGGTTTGTCGATTTTATTGAACTTTTCAAAGAACCAACTCCTAGTTTTGTTGATAGTTTCAATTGTTTTTCAGTTTTCTATTTCATTTATCTCTGCTCTAAATTTTATAATTTCAGTTTTTTTAGAGGGTGTCAGGTTTTCTTGCTGTTCTTTTTCAGTTTGTTGGAGATGTTGGGTTAGAGAGTCAATTGTCAATTTTTCCTGCCTTTTGATGTGTTTGCTTATTGCTATAAATTGACCTCTGATTACTGCTTTGGCTGTTTCCCAGAGGTTTTGGTAAGTCGTGTTTTCATTTTAATTTGTTTCAAGAAACTTTTCCATTTCATTTTTTATTTCTCCTTGTACCTAGCTGTAGTCAAGCAAGTTGTTGTTCAGCTTCCAAATGTATTATTTTTCTCCTTTATTCTCCTGTTATTAATTTCTAATTTTGTTGTGTTGTTGTCTGAGAAGATACTTTGTATAATTTCTATGTTTTTAATTTCTTTATGCTTGCCTTGTGACCTAGAATGTGATTTAGTCTGGAAAATGTTCCATGCATATTGGAAAGAAGGTATATTGTGCTTTTTTGGGGTGCATTAGCCTATAAATGTCTATGAGACCTATGAGTTAGTTTATTGTGTGTTTTAATTCTTGAGTGTCTTTGTTGAGATTCTTTCTGGTAGTTCTATTTTTTCTTGAGAGGGGTGTATTGAAGTCTCCAAGTACTATAGTAGTGTTGTCTATTTCCTTTTTCAGTTTTGTTAAT